AGGCCCCGGCCCCCAGTCCCCGGCGGCCCCGCTAGTCTTGATCATGGTAGCGGTCATGGAAACGGCCCTGGCAACATACAACGTTCAAACACTGCGGACCGATGAAAAGTTAATTGAACTGGAGGAAGAGTTGAGCAGATTGCACTGGCATGTCGTGGGATTATCTGAAGTCCGAAGAAAGGGGGAGGACTCGATAGTCCTGAAATCGGGCAAACTGCTTTACTTCCGGGAGGGCGATCAACCATCCCAAGGCGGTGTCGGGTTCCTCGTCCACAGGTCCCTTGTGAATAATGTTATCAAGGTCGAGAGCGTGTCGACTAGGGTAGCGTACCTGATACTCAGAATTACCAAACGGTATTCATTGAAGGTCATCCAAGTGTACGCTCCAACTTCGACGCACTCCGACGATGAGGTTGAGGCTATGTATGAGGATATCTCCAGAGCCATACATAGTACAAAGACTCATTATAACGTTATCATGGGGGACTTTAACGGAAAATTGGGCAAACGAAGCGGTGATGAGCTGAGAGTGGGGCAATTTGGTATCGGTGATCGGAACTTCCGAGGTCAAATGCTGGCCGACTTCATGGAGAAGGAGAACCTCTTTATTATGAACTCCTTCTTCAGGAAGCCGGAACACCGGAAATGGACGTGGATTAGTCCCGATGGTGCCACAAAAAACGAGATAGATTTCATCTTGTCAACGAGAAGACAGATTTTCAATGATGTCTCTGTGATCAATGCCGTCAAAATTGGAAGTGATCACCGGATTGTAAGAGGCACATTGAATCTGAATCTGAAACTCGAACGATCCCGACTGATGAAATCTACGCTCCGCCCTACACCTATACAGATCCAAAACCCCGAAAGCTTTCAGCTAGAATTGCAAAACCGTTTCGAAAGCCTTGGTGACTGCGTTGACGTGGACGATTACAACAACAGGTTCGTGGAAACTGTCCGTGCGGCTGGGTCTAAGCACTTCAAAACCCGCCGCGCAGAAAGAACCGGAAAAATATCTATCTCTACCCTCAAATTGATGGATGAAAGGCGAAGTATGGTCCTGCAGTCTCCGACTGACGCTTCTCAGTATCGGCAACTTAGCAGGCAGATCTCTAAGTCCTTGACTCGTGACTTACGCCACTTTAACACACATTGTGTAAAGGAGGCTATTGAGAGAAACAAGGGCTCAAAAGTCTTTAACAGGGATCTGGCTGCCGGACAGAGCCAGCTGACGCGACTTAAGACGGATGACGGCAGGATCATTTCGTCTAAACCCGAACTTTTGAGGGAAATTGAGAAGTTCTATGGACAGTTATACACGACAACACGGGTACCTGTTAACAACACGGTGAAAGACCCTAGAGCCAAATTAACCCGACACTATACTGAAGATATCCCGGACGTCAGCCTGTACGAGATTGGTATGGCTCTTAAACAACTTAAAAACAACAAGGCGCCGGGCGATGATGGAGTTACTGCTGAGCTTCTGAGGGCTGGAGGTAGACCTGTTCTACGAATCCTCCAGAAGCTATTCAACTCCGTCATCCTCGAGGGCAAAACGCCTCAAGCATGGCAAAGGGGTGTGGTGGTTCTATTCTTCAAGAAGGGAGACAAATCGCTTCTGAAGAATTTCAGACCCGTAACACTGCTGAGTCATCACAAATCGTCTCGCGCGCAGGTTTGACGACTTCCAGCCTCCCGAACAAGCCGGGTTCCGAAAAGGCTTCAGTACCATAGACCACATTCATACGCTGCGGCAGGTAATTCAGAAGACCGAAGAATACAACCTGCCACTTTGCTTGGCGTTTGTGGACTATGAAAAAGCCTTTGATTCGATCGAGACGTGGGCTGTGCTACAGTCTCTCCAGCGGTGCCAAATTGACTATCGATATATCGAAGCGTTGAAATGTTTGTATGAAAACGCCACTATGTCAGTTCGCCTCCACGACCAGAATTCGAAGCCTATCCAACTGCAGTGAGGTGTCAGACAAGGCGATGTTATATCGCCAAAGCTGTTTACCGCTGCGTTGGAAGATGTCTTCAAGCTTCTGGACTGGAGCGGGCTGGGCATCAACATTAACGGCGAGTACATCAATCACCTTCGATTTACCGACGATATCGTGGTCATGGCTGAGACCCTGGAAGACCTTAGCAAAATGCTCGAAGACCTCAGTAGAGTCTCACAAGGAGTAGGTCTTAAAATGAACATGGACAAGACGAAAATTATGTCAAACGTCCATGTCGTACCTGCTCCCGTAAAAATCGGTGATTCTACACTCAAAATTGTCGATCACTACGTATACTTAGGGCAAACTATCCAGCTAGGTAGATCCAATTTCGAGAAAGAGGTCAATCGTCGAATCCAACTCGGATGGGCAGCGTTCGGGAAGCTCCGATATATCTTTTCGTCCAAATTTCCGCAGTGTCTCAAGACGAAGGTTTACGACCAATGTGTGTTGCCAGTGATGACTTACGGAACAGAGACGTGGTCGCTAACTATGGGCCCCATCAATAAGCTCAGAGTCACTCAGAGGGCAATGGAGAGGGCTATGCTCGGAGTTTCTCTGCGTGATCGAATCAGAAATGAGGAGATCCGCAGAAGAACCAGAGTGACCGACATAGCCCGAAGAATTGCGACTTTGAAGTGGCAATGGGCAGCGCACATAGCTCGTAGGACAGATGGCCGTTGGGGCAGTAAAGTCCTCGAGTGGCGACCACGGACCGGAAGACGCAGCGTGGGAAGGCCTCCAGCAAGGTGGACCGACGATCTGGTCAAGATCGCTGGAAGGCATTGGATGCGAGCAGCGCAGGACCGATCGACGTGGAGATCTTTGGGGGAGGCCTATGTCCAGCAGTGGACGTTTTCCGGGCTGCGATGATGATGATGATGATTGATATGGATGGATGTGGAATATATACCGAAACATAACATGTATTATCAACTTTAACAGCAATAAGTGAGAAGTTATTACTGTGATTTAAAATAGGTATATGGCTGAATGCTGAGGGATGCCTGATTAATATGGCAACCCCACCATATCCATCAGCTCTATCTTCTCGGAGACAGACATAACCAGGTATCTTAAATAAATATACCGGTTTCAGCCAAGTCTCTTGAAGAACACAGATAAAAGGTTTATAAGTATTAATTAAATAAAACAAATCAGATTTTTTTTTAGTTATACTGCGGCAGTTCCACTGGAGAACTTTGGCTTGTTTGTCCATTATTGTTGTTGTTTAAGATATTAATAAATGAATTAGTAAGTGAAGCAACGTTGGACGGTTGTAAGAAGTTACACTGGGTTAACAAATTTAAAAGAGCTATTATTATTTCAGAAATTGATTGTTTCGATTCATTTTGCTGTTTATAACCACATCCATCTGCTGGAGTAGGTGGACTGTAGTCTTTAATTAAATTAGCATATTCCTCACGATTAAAACCATATGTTGGTTTTGGTGGTTGACGAGACTTTTCTATAACTGTTTTTTTATATGATCTATGCATGGGAATTGCATAGTGATTTTTATCCTGGTTAAAACTAGTAGAATTATTTTTATTTACTGGATTAGATCAAACTATATCAGCATATGGTTTCCTAGCAGGAGGGTGTAATTTACTGGCTTCAGCATAAGATACACAGCTTTTTGCCATTGTCTCTTTAATAGCCTTTTGTCTAGTCAGTTCTGGACATTGTTTGCTATTTGACTGGTGTCCACCTTGGCATAAACAGCAAGAAAAGTTATCTTCTTCAACAGAACAGGATTCACCAGTATGGCCCTTGCCACATTTATAGCAACGTGGTACAAATCTATATTGGTTCTTAACATGTCCATATCGACAGCAATTATAACACTGAATAGTGGGATAAATATATAAATCAACAGGTATGGAATTATAACATATAAAAACTCGTTTGGGTAGTACCTGTCCATCAAAAGTAATGACAATGGTTTCTGTCTCTATGAATTCAGATATCCCATTAACAAATGTTTTTCTCTTCAGACGTCTAACTTTTAATATTTTACCATATCTTAATGGTAGAGAAATATTTTCTATGATTTCCTCATCAGACCAGTTAACAGGGACACCCCTTGTTCATCCCATTCTAGTTAAGTTAAAAGCTGGTATGAAAGCATTATAGTTATATTTCTTTAAATCTGCACTATCTAGGAAGGAATTTGCATCCTTATATTGTGAGAATGATATGGATAATCTATTCCTGCCAATTTTTTTAAGACTACCATCAACAACAACATTTTTGTAAAAGCTTTTTTAAGATAACGGCCAAAGTCTATAGGGTGAAGTGTAGTTTAGCATCCGGTGAAGACAGAATCTTTTGAATATGAACTATGAATGGAGCAGCATCATGGGACTGGTAGTAAACTCTACTAATAGAAGTTTGTGGGCGAGTTGAATCATTATCGTGATTATTTATTAAACCAGGGTTAGAAGTTTCTTGTTTATCCACATTATTTACTAAAGATGTATTGGAAGTTTCTTTCTTTTCATTAAAATCATCGCATAGACATGAATATTTATTTTTACTAGTGTCAGCACCTCGATTCCTCCTACGTTTTTTATTGCAATGCTTGCAAATATTCGCTATTGCAGATTAATGCTTACGTTTTGTACCCGAATGATCAGATAAATTAAATGAACAGTCTGTGTCCATGGAATCTTCATTATTACTTATAGTTACGTGTAGAGCGACCTCGGGGGCGGTACCCCGGGGTCCTCCAGTGGGTTCATATATAATAAAATACAGAGACTTACCTAATATTGCTGCTACTAATAAACTAATGAATAATAGATAAATGAATGTAATGAAAAATACACTATTTACAATTTATCTGATCAATATTTAAATATTAATAATTTACTACTCAAAAAATACGACCGCCAAACTTTGTGTTTCCCGCCCTTTTTTCCAACTTGAGTTAACTCGACATCATATGCTATGACATTTATATGCTATATGTCAGTCAGTACTCAGTCAGTACATGGTCAGTATTACTCATTACTACGACTAACTGTTTAGTGCTGATATATATAAATTTTATTGTTTAAAACGATTTTAATACTTTAATTGATTTCACCGTGATGGCTAAACCGAAAACTGATGATGCTTCTGAAGATGCAAAGAAGATTGTAGATGACGCTAAAAATTTTATTGAAAAAGCGATATCAGACATTGGGAAAACTTCCGCAACAAAGCAACTAATTTTAGGCACTGCGTCAGGATGGTATGTAATGCACAATGTTCATTGTGGTTATAATTAATATTATAGCGCAAGTAATCTTGATTTTATTTTTGTTTCACATTTACAGACTGGTTTAGCATTATATACTTATGTCGGCTTTTTATTTTGAATTAAGAAATCAAGTCTCACCTTAAGGTGAGATCAGTAAACCACAGCTATTTCTCAAAATTGTTTTACTTTTTCAACAGTACGTGTATTCGTCTAGAGTGATTTCATATGGCCTATGCTATCTAGATTTACTTATTTTAAATATTTTTATCACTTAATATTCATTAAGTTTTTAGGAATAATAAACAAAATAATATACATATTATTATTTGTATACTACTTTTAATAACTATTGATAGAGCATCCTTATTTGTATGTCCTTACAATGTTTGTAAATCCAGTTTCTGTTGTAGATATATTTTTCTCTTTATATATATTTTTGTAATATAATTTATTCCTTTGTTTTTTATTCCGTTATTTGTTGATTCTATACTTCATCAATTTTGTTACCATAAAAAGTAAGTTAGACCATAGTCACTATAAACCAGTTTGCATAGACAGTCTCAAATTAAAATCAAAACTAAATTATTTTCAAATTTTTATTAAATAACCTTTTCTTTTCTATGTTAAAAATTGAAAAATATTATATGTCATATTTTTAAGAAAGGGGAAATAATAGAATAGCCTTCTGAAGGAATATATTTTTATTATATGCTAAATTTTTATAAAATATTTTTTTAATTAGGATAACTGGTTTCATAACTATGAAAATTGGGAAGTTTGCTGCTGTCGGTATAGGCGGAGGAGTCATATTGCTACATATAGCAAGCCAAAAAGGCTACATTGATATTAACTGGGACAAAATAAACAAGAGAGTTGATAAAATCAGTGACAAAATTGAAAAGGAAGCAACAGGGAAATCACCAGATTGGTTTGAAAAAGTAAGTACTAGTATATATACTGATTTCCACTTTAGTACATAAAATAAAATTTAAAGATGTCTGAATTACCTGACATAATTTTGCTGTAGATAATGGCATGATCTAAGAAGTACTTAATTTTTTTGTTTAACCAAAATGACTAACAAATTGATGACCAACATGAGTGTGGCCTACATAGCTAATATACCTATTGCTATGAACAACATCACAGACACCACATTGTCTTGTGAGGCACTCCTCATATGTTGAAATTCCTGTGAATTAAGGTACTTTATACTTTGTACCGGTGAAATATATATAACAGTTTATAAATATTTCACCGGTCAAACTGGAACACAGTTTTGATGGCTGTGTTTCAAGCTGCTATTTACCAGAAATAGCTGAGACAGAGGTACTCATATCCATGATTTTGGATAATATTGAGGCAGACTTTGTTTTTGATACCACTATGTCTATAGTTTCACACATAATTGAGTTGGTGCAATTGACTTGTATAATATTAAGGTTTACTTACTACTAACAATGCTACATTTTTGTGTAACAACTAAATAAATGAGGTAAAGGTAGAATTATTATTGTACAGTATCTTTATTTACATCAGTTAATGCATATTTTAAAAAATTAGTGAATATTTAAACATAATAACCTGTAAGTACCTATTTCAGAAGTATTTACTTGATTATGATACTGAAACTAATCATAAACTGTAAGTACAGTAAAACTGTTGATATATAGTACCTAGCAATTTGGGATAGCTTTACCAAATACTTGAACTCAATGAATTACTTTGGTAGACAGCACTGCAAATTGTTCTCAAGTTGAGTAATGACATATCATATAGGGAATGAAATATTTTCAGAGTTTGGCAATTCTTCATATAAAAGTAACTTAAAGGTTTACTTTATTTGCTAAGAAAATTTGTCAATAATACATATATCCTATGTAGAAACTAATTGAGCCAAAAATAATTCTAAACTAGTGCCAATTATTACTGTCGCCGTAATCATTGAATCACTGTTCCCAACAATAAATTGTATTTTTATCTAAATGACAATCTGTGCTATCTTAACCAAATGTTCGTGGTATTCTTCTACGGTTGGTATTCATTGTATAAATCAGCATAATTTAGCTTTCCTCAATAATGTGAGTCATGTCATATATGCCTATTTACGTTGTTGTCATTTAAGCAGCTTTAATTATTAATTTCAACCCATCTAAGATATTACATATAATAATATCTTTTTCTGCTTTTTATTTTGTAAAATGCAATATATATTTTTTTAATTTATGCACTACCATGCTATGAACTGAGTAGTACCTACCTGTACTCGTATTTTAATTATCGAAAACACATATTCACCAAGGTAAACAGTATGTATATTTAGACAATACAATAAAGACATAAAATATACCTACTACACCCACAAATTTCAGATTACTCGGTTTTTCTTTTTCACGTCTACACTCTTTTTCTTCTTCACTCTTTTTCTACCCTATTAGCAATTATATCTTAAATCAAATATTATACCAAATCTTAATTTATTTTATTGTGGATGATACGAACTGAATCTCTATTAAATACTGCAGCAAATTCTAAATCATTAAGTTCTCTATTAAAAAGACGCTAGAAGACTAGATATCGAAACATTTATTCTATTGATATTCATAAAAGAAATTCAAATCCGAACTTGATTTGTTAGGCTAAATTACTTGAAATTGCGATGTCTCCGTGGAAAATTACTTATATTTTTGTGGTCACACTAAAATGGTTAGGGATAATTAAAAAAGTCCGAGTTACATTTATTCATGTTTCCATTTAATATTATTTATTTTGTTGCAGGTGTTATCATTTGTCAAAACCAATTCATATTATTCAGCAGGGTTCACAGGAGGATTATTTTTTGGCATTGCTTCTTCTTAAATTACAAATTTAATTTAAGCATACACATTGGAATAGTAATTGTTAGTAAACATTTCATAACGACAATTTGTCTCATTACGTTATACGGACCAGATGATTAATAAGTGCATAATTATCTAATGATGCTCGGAGTCACGGATAGTGCAAAAATATAGGCAAGTCAAGAAGGGCTATTTTTCATATTTTGAGGGTCTGATTATTATGAATGTTGACGCACAATTGTTGCTCAAATTTATTGATTGGAGACTAAGGTCCTCTGATTCACTATTTGAACAATTCACATTCTAAGGATAGCTAATCCACAACTAATAATAAATATGTAGTCCTTGAAATGAACTGGAAAACTCTTGGGACCTACCGAAATCCACGGGTCTACCGTGTATGAGTATGATGGAGATCGGGTAACAACGTTTTATGCAACTATTATGCATATACACCACTTGGAAGAAATTCTCATAATAAGATAACATTTAAATAATTAATGTAGGTATTTTTGAAAAGGTCTTCAATTGTGAATAGTGATTATCAATAATTGAGTCCATAACCTGTAGTACACAAAGACAACATTTAGCGCCAAACTAATTTTCTTTTGTAAATTGTAGCTCTGTAAAAAGTAAAGTGGTGCTGGACATTTTATGTTGACGATAGTACAAACATTTGTAACAAAAGTAGTTTTGAAAATCCATGGTGCATTAGGAAAATGTAAATGGGCACGCCCTACATAAATATAATATGGCGTGTCATATGTCAAAAAATGGCTAGATATTTAATTAAAAATAAATAAATAGGTTACTATTGCGGTTATAAAGCTTTTAGTTTCGAGTACCATAACCAATAGCATAAAAACAAGTAGTTTTCATCAGTTGTTTTTTAAAATTTTGTCATAAAGTAATGCTGTTACATTATATTCTTGTTTATTAAAATGGTTGTTATTTATATTCTCATTTTATATCGTACTTGTATTTATAGATGATATTAGAGATCTAAAACGGAATTACATTTTTTATTTTCCTTTCTAAAACTATATCAATTGCCATATCGACAAAGGTATGTTCCTGACGCTCCTTTTATGGTGCAACCTAGAGTTCAGTTGGAAATTGGATCTAAATATACTCTAATGTCTAATGACTAACTTTGCACATTGAATACAATCGTCTATTCAGCTTGAAGTAAAATTTAATGTAGTTGCCCTTCACTGGTTACTACATCATAATTTAGCTATATAAATAAAAATCAAATGCCGATTGTATATAAGACCATCATATTCGGCTGTACATATTTTTTGTTGAAAATTACCACGACAATTTTTGTATGAAAGAAAATCTTGAAAAATGTAGGGAAAAAGAAAATAAATTAACCTACCACACTTACCATAATCACACAACTATTTATATGTTATGTTATATGTTAACACCTATGTGTTAACATATAACACTAATGTTAGTTGTAGATACTTATATGATATTATCTATCTTCTATAGGATTTCAAACTAAATAAATATTGACATATTTATAATAATATTAATAAAACTGGACAATCCACACAGTGCTATGTAGTCCCAAGCTAATAAGAGCTTGTTATGAGTACTAGACAACTAATATAAATATGATTTTTTAAATACATACATAATATACAATACATAGAAAACACCCTAACTAATAAAACAATCGTATTCATAAATACAAATGTTTGTACCTTGCGAGGAACCGAATGCGCGACCATCTGAAGTAAGACGATATCACTAAGGCCGTTGACAACGTTGACGATTTGACAAATATACTGTTTATAGTAAGCTAAGTCCGGGATATAACCCGCGTGAAATTTGTAGCCTGTTTTATTCTGACGTATGATATATGACTGTAAACTTTCATCAAAATCCGTTCAATAGTGTTTGAGTGTGAAAGAGTAACAAACATCCAGCCATCTTTGCCATTTATAATATTAATAATAAGATTACAGAAGTAAAAACAGTTATTTCCATACTAATATTAGAAATGCGAAAGTATGTATGACTGTCTGCTATCTTTTTACGTCTGAACGGATCTTAACGAATTTTGGTGTACCTAAAGGTAGACGGTATCTCAAATTCATCAGGCGAAGTCGCTGGACGCGGCTAATAAAGTGTAGCTACCTCATAGTATAAAAAAACGTATAAAGTAGTCATGTCTTCTTTTACCTAGTTTACAAATTAATATAATGTGTAATAATTTATATGAATAAATTGTTATAGGTAGAACGATTCGTGGATCGAAAAATGGATAAAGCTGAAAATTTACTGAAGAAAAAAGAAGTGAAAGCAAAACGTTGGTATAATAATTTCACAGGAGATGATCATTATCGTGCGACCGAAACACACGTTTTTCTAGCATCTTTTATGGCAGGCATGGCTGTTGGTCTAGTCTGTGGCAAATAAAAAAATGTGTCTATTTCTATTTTTCTTAAGTAGAATATGTTACACCATTTTAAATCCTCTTTAGCGCTAAACGTTATAGGTCCTATTAATTTGATACATCTTAACTATACAACAACAATTTATTAGGATGCATATGAATATATGTATAAATAATTATTATTTAGTTATACAGTGTGATTAACAAACGTGCAATGTTTATATTTTAGATTAATAAGTACACGTTTTAAATATTGTGTAATAAAAATAATTAATTTGTACTCTGTTATATTAAAATAATGTAATCGCAGTATTATTTAATTCGAAATACTAAGTCATTAATTTTTCTAGACGTTTATTGTACACTAGATATTTTCTGCGGCTTCACTCGAAATAAGGTAATACACAAATTACCTTAACTTATTTAAAACGACTCGAAATGTTTAATTTATAATATCTATAAATAATTTCTTAATATATAATGTTAATAAATAAATATTTTTATTGTACACCGGCTTCACCTGCCGATATCTTCCGTTCCTGTAATAATTACGGTATCAGATGTCTAATCGGTACGTGATTACATATAGCTACCTCCCTATACAATTTAATTTAAGATCTTGACAAAACTACGATAAAATTACTTATTTATAGTTGAGGTATTAAGATGTAATCATCCTATGAAGGGGTTCATGGAATAAGTGCATTTTAATACCTATATTACATGGATTTTAATAAACAGATGGCAATATTTGTTTTACATTATGATCTTGTTAAAAAATATCAATGTATCCTACTATAACTATATGTCGAAACTACAAACGACAATAAAGAAATGATGATGATCATACTATTTTATTACGATATTATGCCTTTTTCAATAACAACAGGTATATAATCGGCTACAGCACAATACTATAGTCACGGTCGTAGTATTCCATTTTTTTTATTAGTTACTTTATAATTCTTGTAGTGGTACTGTTTTTTTTTTTTCAAACTATAAAGCTGTTATCGCAACTGGACTTTACAACTTTATCGAACGATTGGGAGCGAGTGCAGACGGCATTCCAAACCCGCAGACTTATGGAGTAGGAGAAGGCCATACCACATTAGTATGAAGTCACCGCTAGAAGTTCAAGCCTCGGCTCAGGCCGTTGAAAGTTTTAATCCAGGGATTTGTCGATTTGAACGTAGTATTCTATCGATCGAAGGGGTGACCTGGGGCGTCTGTGTGGAGCGATCATACTCGCGCTGGATGGTATGGTCGAGGTCGTCTTTGCCGTCGAGAACGATATCGTGTTTGCATGATAACGTGGTAGGTACGGAAGTGGTGGAGTGCACATGTAGGAAAATTTGTTGCCGGTCTGGGGTCGCCGAGATCAAGATAAGAACGTCCCTCAGGCGGCGTAAGACTATCCTTCATGAAGTTTTGATGGTGGGCAACCCCGAACCGCGCTAGTGACGAAGACGTTCGTTAATTGGCTATACTAAAAAATTCTTCAGAAATTAACATTCAAATTATTCTAGCAGTGACATTGTGGAGGTCGACATGATGGCGTTATTGCTGTCAGTGGTACTAAAATCTCCACTCCAGAGACACGGGGGTTGGTACCTCCGGAGATGCAGGCCGTTCGCCCCGAGGCTTCTTTACGAATATAAATATTCATATATATATATATTCTTTAATGTATATATACATCAGAGAAGATATATACATCTATACATATAAATAAAATTGGAGTGTCTGTTTGTAATATTTAAATAACCGTTTTTTACTACATGCATATGAATATAAATACGGTACATACACCAAAATAATTTGTTTTACAATTTTTTAGAGTCCGACTGCAACTGAAACCGAAACCGAAACCGAAAGTCACGTAATCAAGTATAAAATTCCTTAAAATACCGAAATTTGGTGCATTTTACCCATTATTCTGCATTAATTAAGGCGTTAAATGGAAACGCCGTAGGTGTATTAAGTTTGTTGTAATCATTTATTTTATTTTTTATTTAATATAATACCTATAAAAAAAAATTTTTTTTTTAAACCTTTCACATAAGGCAGTATGTCCACTATTATGAGATCCATTATAGTTTTATCAATCCTTTTTGTAATTTCATGATTATCAGGCCACAGTACAACTTTAGGTTTAGAGGTCAAAATGATCAGAAGTTAGACGGCGTACACAACTTCAATTTTATAAAAATAATGTTAAACTCCACGCGGACATAGTCGCGTGTACAGCTAGTTAAAAATAAAATTGTATTCAAATTATTTTTTTCCATTCTATTAACTCAAATTATTTTTAACATTACAATATTGTTCTAAAATATTGATTTTATGTCAATTTTATATGAACTGCTATGTCACAACTTAACAATAGATTGTCAGATTTTGTAGCTATGAATGTACTAATGTGGCATCGGAACATTTACATGATTCCATACAAGTAGATGAGATTAATAATTAAAAGGTTGTGTCATAAACATTGGAGCCAAAGAGGGCCATCCACTTCATTTACGGTATCGGTTCCAGTATCAAATATTTTCACCGTTGCTTCTCAATACATCTACGAAAATATCATGTATGCCAGGAAAAACATTGACAGTTTAGTTATTACACTAATAAAAGCTTACGTAATATCAACAAACTAGTTTTACCTAAGTGCCGTTTGACGAAAGTACATATACTTAAAATGAATGACTAAAATTTTTGATGGAAATTGCGTAAGGTTTTGCGTACAGACCTGCCAGAGTCTGTACTCAATTTTCCAGAAAAATTCAAATGTCTTATAAAATATTATATTTTTAAAAAGCTTATTATAAAATTGAACAATTTATAGATATTTTCTACAAAAACATTATCAGTTTTTGTAGAAAATATCTAACTTAAAATTCATAGCGCTGACAATGTTTTCTGATTGAACAGAGATTAAGTGCGTAGCGGTTTCTATGTTAATTGTCGCATGTCTAATCCTTGTTAATGTAAATATAACTAAAACAATATTTATATAAAAGAGCAACACATAAGCTTCTTGTGATAAGTCTGCATTCCGAATGAGCGATAGAATAAAAAGACTTGACTATTCAAAAGTGCTTATATTAATTTTATTTGAAAAAAGATTATTTCTATTTCTTTAGTCATCAAGAAATATTATTTACATAGTAATTAAACAATTCTTTGGAAGGTAAACTTTCTAAATATGCCTTGAAATCTGATATGTATTTTTTTTCAATAAAGATACAGCTCTCCTATAACGGTTTTTCTCGGTCCTGGTAAGTTGAGACCACGATAAGTCTCTGTTTTTATTTTGTTCTTGAATCATTTCAAATAATTCTTTTGAATGGCTGTAAAAAAAGCAATTATTGTTAATTTATGGTCTTGCTAGAGAAAAATCTTGATTTTCTAAACAAAAGGTATCATGCACTATATTACCATGTACTATAGGTACCATGTAATACGTCATTAATAATAAGGTACTAAGGACTCTTAAATTCTCATAGTTTAATATTAGGGCTTTTTTTTATTCCCATTCATTCATTATGATTGACCCATAAACTTTTTTGAGTCAGTTTCGTCAACAGATTAATGGGCAGAATATCTATTTATTTATAAATAACAACTATATTAATTTGGGTCAATTGTGAAGAACTTTTTAGGTAATGAGAGTACAGGCAGAAATTTCCTTGTATGTTGACTGACTTCAAAATTAATATTAATGCGTTATATGCTAATATTTTTGCTTACCTCACAATTGGAGGCATAGGTTCAATCAATATAGGCTCGGAATGTGTCGGTTGGTTGTCGCTGTTGACTTCTTTATTACAATGAACAGGAATTTCGTTTCTAAAACAAGTAAATTTTCATTACAATGAAAGGTTTACACTTAAGCAAAATATCAGAATATACATATACCCGAAAATAATATGTACTAATCTTTGAAAGTGCAGTATTTAGTCTAGTTGTGGTAGCAATGCACTCTAGTGCTGACTACAAATGTTTTAAATAGATTTTAATTAAAAATTATACTTACAAAGAATGTGATGACATTTCTCTAGCAATATTATCAGTTTCATGAAGTGTATTATTAATTGATAAATCATCTTGGTGATCTATGTCTGAAATTCTGAAATATAATAAATAAATTCAGTTTAAGAATAACAAGCAGTGAACAACTGCTTGGGTATTTTATTTCATAATACCGTTTTGACTTTATTACTATGTAAAGCAAAAATCTTGTACATAGTAAATTGATAACAATATCTAGTATTGTGTAAAAGCTATACAAATTTAAGTCCATGGACTGATATTACTAGGTAAAGAGACTAGACAGAAATTACTCTCTTGACAAGCTTTAAAATTATAACCCATCAAAAACATAAATGTGAAATGATAGCCGTTGTTTTGCAGTTCTAATATTACAAAACAGATATATTTCTTGATTGTTACAATTCATGAAGTCACTACGTTGCACAAAATATTGATATGATCTAAAAATATTACACACTAAGTTCAATGGTCTGTCCTGAAATGTATTTATAACAATATAAAATATCATTTCTTCTTATAACTTAAGATAATATACTGTAGCCTAAGGTCTAACTTGGCCAGTTCTCATATACCAATTATTACTTTCGATTGCTAGTTACTACTTTAGTTCTAGTTACTACATGTTTAGAACTTGCGAAGGCTACAGTATATTTCGTATATGAAAACTAGCCGAGTTAGACCTTAGGCTACAGTATATTATCTTAAGTTATAAGAAGAAATGATATTTTATATTGTTATAAATACATTTCAGGACAGACTCCATTGAACTTGGCACCCATTTAGATCTCATCTCTTTTGTCGTAGAAGTAACAATCAAGCCATATATCATAATATTAAAAATATTATATATTTCACATTTATGTTTTTGATGGGATATCATTACTTTTTGTACATAAATTATACGAGGTACTTATTTATAACTAATACCAAATTATTTTTGATAAATTACTGTATTTTCGTATATTTACGGGGTATAATTGTCTTTTTTTTGTGTTATTTTCTATATTTTCTTGTAACTTTTAAATGTTCAAGTGCAATGCCAATTCAGTATCAGGAATTTTTGGGCAAATCGGGGCGGTATAACGTCCACAGATGGTTGTACTCTACAATAGAGCTCTCGTGACTTGGATCAAAATTGTTAAGACGTACTCCATCTAAGGTTTTAACTCTGAAGACTCCAACGTAAACCTGCTTATTTAATATCTGAAACTTAATATTGACACCTTATAGTTCGTAAAGACGATTATGTAACAAATTGACTGTTATCTATTGAATTCTCAAGAAAACAATTTGTTACCAATAAGTTCTCATTCTCGAGTTAACTGTACATTCCTACTTATAACTATACTAAAATTGTTATTAATTTTTGGTTTAAACTATTGTCTATACCATACGTATTTACTAAAATAATGTAATAATAATATAATCACAAATATATAAGTATAATTTAAGAAAGCTATAAATTTCGTAGCATAAATCGCAACCTTATAGGTTAGATATCCAGAAACAAAACATTGAGTTTTATCGCACCCTCCCACAACCGCGGCGCCCTATACCGAAATGCCTATTATTTAATAATTATTTATAAAAATAATGATTTTACACTATCGATGTGCGCTAAATATTGAAACAATAATTAAAACCAAATCTCAGTTAATAACATAATAAATACGAAATTCGACTATACTCCTAGTTATAAGTACGAGTATATTTTAGACAGAATCTAAATTATAGCAACTAGTGTTTATCGCTCAATGCAATATTTGAAGTTTGCTAGTTATCGACACTGATGTGAAGGGGTCAACGTAAATTGGTAATGATCTACGTTTTCATACAATATTACTTTCGGTCCAGTACAAGATGAGATTTTTCGCCAGGGATCAATGTCAATTAGTGGCTATCGACGTTTTCATAGAATTTTAGTATTCGTCCAGTATAAGTTGAAATAGAATCAATTAAAGTGAAAAATTGTAGTAAAATGATAACAATTTACCAGTTTCAGATTTTTTCCTTTATATTCACCTAATTACCTATCTGCATACCAAATTTGAACTTCCTAGGTCATCTGGAAGTGGGTTATAATTTTGATCTATAGTTGATCAGTGATAAAAATGACGATTTTTGGACATTAATATCTAAATAACCGTTTGAGATATGTTTATGAAATTTGGAACACATATTTATCTCGCAAGTCTCAATATATGAACCAAATTTGACAGGTTTGTGTGAAAGAGTTTTTGAGTTATGAGGGGGTCAAAAGTGGCTCCAAATGGTTCGTGTAAATATACACACGGTGCTGCAAGCCAGTTTACTTGAAACTCGGCTTGACACGCTGCCGCGTGTCTAGATTATATAATTGTAGCAGATTCATTATTTTTCACCTAACGTTTGGAGCCACAGGCTCGAAATGTGTAACACATGTTGTTTTGCAGTTCTTCAATAGAATTTGACAAAACAGGAATATCATTTCTGAAACAAGTGGAGTTTAATTACAATTCATGAAGTCACTTAAGCCTCAAAACAAGTTGCACAAAATATTGGAATTTGCATATCCTAGAAAATATTACACACTAATTTTTCACAGTCTAGTTAACCTAAAGTTGTGGTAGCAATGCACTCTAGTGATAACTATAAATATTATAAGTAGATTTTATTTAAAAATTATACTTACAAAGAATCTGAGGATAGTTGCCTGGCCATATTATTACTTTCATGAACTCTATTTTTCAAATCACCTTGATGATCCAAGTCTGAAGTACTGAAACATAAAATAAATAAAAATATTATATACTACCAGGTATTTATTACACTTCTGTCCATGCCTGAGTATCAAAAACAAAGATTTGGCGGGTAGATAAGATTATTATATAAATATATTATATAGTATGTCAGTATGTCCTGTTGTGTATAAGTATCAATGGAATCTTGAAAACATTGAAAATTAAAATGACTTATGGTTTAATAATGGTCAATGACAACCACTACTATAAATTCAATTACTGATATAATATTTGATGTTCAAATCAACTCCCTCATCATATTTTTATTAGTATAATAACCTTAGAGTAACCTTAGAGTGTTATTATTACTTTATATTATAAAAATTCAAATATATATATATATACATAATAATTATTAACTGCTAAAATAAAAAAAATAAAGAACATTTATTAACTGTAAAATACCTTTTCTGTTTTTTCTTTAGATAGGGTTGTGTTTGTTTTAAATAATTTGCTAATTTATCCCTCTGTTTCTTTCTGCATTCATTATATTTATTTACAAATTGCAATTTTTCTTCATCACTTAGTGTAGTCCAAGACTTTGTTGCTTCCAAAACAATTTTATCACCCTTAAAACATAGTATAAATAATCCATCAGTTTTTATAGGCTTATTATTGGATAGGAATGTAAAATATATAGAATATATGATTAAATATATTCTATATGAATTTGTGATTGCACACTGCAATTTATTCTTTTATTTAAGAATATATGTAATGAATATTGTTTCCACATAATATTTCCAAAATTTATGACAAAGCAGACTTTGAAAAAAGTAGTTTATAAGAATCAGATTTTATCACTTTTTCAAATGAATCATTTTATTTGTCTTGACATCAGGCTAAATCGAATAAAACATAACAATTTGATTACTTTTTCATATGGATCATAATGGAATGATCACATATTTCACTATACACATATTTTCAATAAAGACAAACAATGCTCATCATGGCAAATTGATCAGAAATTAATAACTGATGTTGTCAGTATTTGATGAAATAAAAATAGGTTGTGAACAAAGTAAATCATAATTGTAATAACATGTAAACTTGATGCCTATGGTGCTATTCCTATATATAGGTAACAGTTAGCACTTATCACCAGCCCATATCCGCTAGTTCGCATGTTTCTAATTATAATTAAAATAACATATTTTCTAAAAGGATGTTTTGTATGTAGTATTTTTAAATATGTGCATATACAGTAATGATACTGAATACTTATTAATGTTAAACAGTTTATGTCGAAAAAATTACTTACCATTTGTGTCGTTTGTAACACATCTTTTCATAATTACAATACAACTATAGTATATAAAATTGTAATGGAGATAACTGGGTATATAACATAATATACTTCTGAATAAAAATAAAAAACTGACATGATTAATAATTAAATAGGATGTTTTTAATTCGCAAAAATGTAGATCAAAGAATACATTATAATGGTAGGTATGGTAATTTAAAAGTTTAATAACATAATTACAGATTATATAATTTATATTGAAAGCAGTGTTTCTAATCAGACATAGAGATGTTCTCAACTCGAGTTGAGACTTAAATTTGAGTTCACTTTGTATTATGAACGAATTAAATGAGAGAGCGAAATTCGTGATTCGTATCACCTATATTCAATCAAAATGTCGAGTCTTAGAAGGAAATCTATTGTTTTTTTCGAATCGCCAGTGATTGGACGTAAAATGTAATAAATGGTCCCATTCATCTTAAATATATAGGAAATACGACGTTACTGAAAAATATAAAAAAAAAGCACTCAGATAGGACGTCTTTCCAACAGCCATGCATGCGCTCCATAACGTTCCGCGGGTTTAGGATTGCCATTTCAAATGGTAATACTATATATATCATAAATAATACTATATATATATAATAAATACCATTAAACATTTTATTATAATAAAAATGAAACGATGAGAATCCCAACAAAATGGCAACGTTATTGTCTCAAAAACTAAAATATAAATAAAATAAAAAAATTGCTATAAATGTCCAGTGCTATTTTACATTCGACTAATTTTAAAATAAAATACTGAAAACGACAATTAAAAAACTAAACGAGTACCTTGTAGTCTCAAAAACTGAAATATAAAACAACAATATTTGTTTTATATTTCAGTTTTTTTTTAAGTTAAGCTTAAAGTTTAGTTAAGCTTAAAGTTTAAATAATCAAAATACGAAAAATAATTATTTGCACTAATTTTCAGTCTCGTTTTACGTAAGAGTAATATTAAAATAAAATGAAATGATAAGTGAATACTCTGTTTATGACAATCGATTAAAACCCGTAATTTATAAAATCGATTATTACTATGAAAATTGATTATTTGAAAACAAATAATCGATTTAAATAAAAATCGATTGTTCTTTAATATCCCTGACTTGAGTTGACACATTTCTACTTATGTCATGTATTTAATTTAGTAAATAGGATTTCTTGTAATGTATATTATTTAATCCTAATTGATATTACAGAATAATAGAAACAAAATGCCAAAAAACAAAACGTAAGAAAAGAGTATTTCTTCCTACTTTCTTTGCCGAAAGATTTAATTTAAATCCAGGAGCTAGATTTAAAAGGGATTAAAATAATTTTAATCCCTTTTATGACATACATTACTGTTTATTTTAGATACGGATTGATTTTACCAGAGAAGCAAAGAAAACAGCCTGTGTTTCAAGCTACTCGTAATGTTTTTGGAGGTGATTCTGAATCCGACGAAGAAACTAATAAGAAACTTGCACTGTTACGGCCAAGTCACAACGTTAACAGACAGGTGCTTAACTTAATTTTTTATGCTTTTGAAATGGCTCTCAATAACGTCCACTGATGATAACCGGTGTAGGTTATTACTGATATGTAGGTTATGACAGAAATTATGATGATTCATTCAAACAACTCACTCATTGCCATTCTAGAGAAATAAGACATATCTTGTAATATCACTGCCTTTCTTCACCCTACAATTGAAGCAGATCCTAAGTCTACCAATTCACTTATTATGCGGCAAGCAAATGGCTCAGACTATCTTCAGTCAGACCATCATGTAATTCATCTGTAAAGTGCTCTCATTACTTTATTTCAGAAAGCAGTGTATTAATTATAAATTGATTACCATTTCTTATGGATGTTTTCAAAACTTGGAGTTTATTAAAAATATTTTCAGTTTTTAAACCATGAGGTTTTAGATGTGTTGTTTGAAAACCTTAACAGAGAGTTAATTCTATAATACCAGTAGCATATATGAAGTAAGTATAGTTATGTAAAACAATGCTGTATATAGTTTTTACATATTACATGATGAAACTCCTTATGAATAGATAAATTTATTATTTATTTACTATCCTCATTCTCTATACAGGCAATAAATAGTAGTATAAAACACTACTGTGTTTTATATGTGTACAGTACATGTAGTTGTACTCAACTACATGTACTGTACACATTTAAATAAAAAGTGTGTTACCTACATAAAAATTTAATCATTATTCATAGGCGAAAATTGCACAAGAAAATGCAATTAAAGAAGATCCAACTGTCTACCAGTACGATGAGGTATATGATTCTATGTCAAATCAGAAAGAAGAGAAAAAAGCAAAAGTGAAAGAAGACAAGAAGCCACGTTATATAGAAAACTTAATGAAGTCAGCTAATAAAAGAAAAATTGAGAATGAGAGACGTATTGAGAGACAGGTTTGACATTGAAACAATTTATAATATAAATATGTTATATCTCATCATATTAAATTTAGTTTATATCTTCTAACTATAATCTGTCAATTTTAAATATAAAATAATTGTATATATTTACAACTAATTACTTTGAGCAGACTAAGTAAATTGTAGAACATGTTCCACAAAAATCTAGTAATCGAAATTTTACATCTATGTTATGATTTGATTTTGATTTTGAACCAAATGTTTTGTACCTTTTTACTATCAACTATCACTATCAAAATACAATTCTATATTTATACCTTAATGTAATTCATATTGCAAGCTTATTTTGTTTACAGATATGATCATATGAGAAAGTAAAAAAAGTCTTTTTTACTCAGATATCATTTATTTATTTTAGATTCAAAAAGAAAGGGAAATGGAGGGAGATGAGTTTGCAGATAAAGAAGTATTTGTGACATCAGCATATAAAAAGAAACTAGAAGAATTAACATTAGAAGAAGAAAGAGAAAAAACATGAGGAGTATCTAGAAAGTATAGGAGATGTAACCAAACAAAAAGATTTAGGTATTTTGTATGAAAATAAATTTTAAGTTTCTCTTTTAAATTAATATGTTTACATATTTATGTATCTTTTTTGTTTATAGGTGGATTTTATCGACATTTGTATGAACAAAAATTAGGTAATGGCAAATCTTTAGAAAATGATCAACCAAATAAACATATAGAATCTTCAAATGTAACCCAGAAAAATCCATTACTAGATAATTCAAAATCTGATCTATCAGAAATATCAAGAAAGAGAAATTATAGGAAACGAAGATCATCATCAGATAATATGATACAGCTTTCAGAAGGTGAAATTGATGATTCAGGGGACGAAATAAATCGACTCAATCTCAATGACATCAGAATGGCGAAAAAGTCTAAGAAGAATGAAGAGAATGTAGATGCTGATTCAGATTTTTCAATAGATGAATCAAGTGATGAAGAAAAACGCAATAATGAAATTAAAACACAAAATAATATTGTTTCTGAAGAGGCTTTTAAAAAGCCAATCAAACAAAAGAGTGATGATCAGATTGAAGTTAAGGCAGAGACTAAAAGCTTAGAAAAATCTAATACAAGTGATATCTCTCAAGAAAAAAATAAACCTAAAATTGATATTTGGAAGAAAAGAACAGTTGGAGAAGTGTTTGAACAAGCATTGAAAAGGTATTATGAAAGAAAAGCTTCCAGAGGCTTTTAATAAGTTTAAAATATGATAAAATCAAAATACCTCGTATTTTGGCTACACACGGCAGAGCAGATGTATATAGTACTTGTGCTATGTGAATAGTGCAGGTAGCATATCTCCAAGAATGTTGAAAGTATAATATAATACTTCTTTGTCAAAAAAAATGAGCCAGTCACTGTCTTTATCCTATTTTTGTTCTCTCATTAAGGGAAATATGTTAAAACATATTTCTTCTAATAAGAGGACAAAGATAGGACAGGATATCATAAATTGCAATTTCTTATAAAATATTTGTGAACTATATAAATACAATTACTTGATAAAATAAAAGACTACAGCTGAATAATTTTTATATATTAATACACTCATAATTAAAAATAGAATACCCCATATCGAGTGAAGTAAGTTCTTTGTGGTGGTCCATTTACTACATATTAAGTGAAGCCGTAAAAGCATAATCAAATAAATCATAAATTTATGCACACATTGGCACTTTTAAAATAAATTTTATAGCTAATTTCCATGTGGTCTCTACTAACTCGGTAGTCTAGCAGTTTAATAATCCATTAGTCGATTCTTCACACAATACAAACATGACTAGATGGCGCCGCGTGAATTAATAAAAGTATATGCGTAAGCGTTTCGTCAAATAAAATAATATTTTAATATTAATCAAATACATGTATCTATTATGACATTTTATAAAAATGTCTACTATTTTTACTTCTACCTCTATAGAACACAGCTTCACTTTTTTAATATGTAGTGTTTTGCTGAGACAGCTACAAACTATAATTCGAGACTTATTCATTTATATAAAATGTAGAATTATTAAACCACCACATAATGCGCCTTGCAGTGAACTGAAACAAAAATAATGTTTTTGACTAACAATGGACAATAAATGCAAGGCAATATTGACGATTAAATCAGAGCTACAGGGCATTAGACTTGTTGCTGACTTAGTAATGAGCTGTATTGAAGCGTTTATTTAATATTACTTTGTTATTTCCAATATAAATTATACCTATAAATTCGGAAACCGGATCGTTTTCGCCTTCGGCTCTCATTGTGCCAGTGATTTCTTCGTTTTCAACCATCGGTAATACAAGTTGCACAAATTCTGGGGTATATGGTGGAGCTATTGCATCTAGAACCTGTATGAATATATATTATAATATTTACAACAAAGAATTAAGACATCAGTTTATTGGAACTAGTGACTGTAAACATCCCTGAATGATATATGTTTACCAGTTATTGTTGTATAAAATATACTAATGGACCGACGATTATCTTTCTAAATAAACAAAAAAAACTCGAAATCAGTTCGTAAAACCCACAAATTGAACATATCCTAGTTTTTAAAATTTAATTAAACTATACATGTATTTCCATCATAAATACAACAAATAAAAATTACAATTAGAAGGTATTATTGGATTGGATTAAAATAAATTATTGCCACATTATTAGTTACCACAATATGGTAGTCAGGATGATATTCCTCCTTAAGATAACTTCGTCCATGTACATAGTTATATTCCTTAATATATCATAGAGATAGAGATGAATAACATAGTATGAATAAAGTAAAATTGTTTTAAGCACGAACCTCAGTGATGAAATATCTTATTAGGGAAATATCTGTATCCCCACGTTGCCAACACTGCTTGATGTACCGTAATACAGGTACTACACAACCGCGGCTTAGTAAATTTACCATGCGGTCAAGCAACATTTTTTTTAATTCCAACTGAAATAAAGTAATTCAAGGTCAATGATTATTTTGTATTATAATGAATATTCTCATTGTTTGATGTTCAGCATACCTGCACTAGAATTTCTAATTCATCTTGCGGTGATTCAAATAACTGCACAAGTAACTTCAATAGTCTGTGGTGAAGCAATTGGTGGCATGAAGCTACTTCGTCTAACAATGCTAAATGAACTGGACAGTGCTCAGTGCATAACTTGAAATAGGAAGGCTCTGTTACAACACATTCGACCCACACTAAAACACCCATACCAACAACAGGAAATCTAAAATACAAAATTAAACAAATGTTTACTGTTTTAATATTGTCATAACATAAAATAAAAAGTATGTAGCTCTGCATGAGATTTTAGTTAAAATTTTTACAAATTTAAACGAAAATTAATATTAGTAGGTGGAGGTAAAAAAATGCTTCTGTATACACACACTTTTTTTAGAAAATTTGATCACTAAAATTATCAATATTGAGTTATTCAGTTTTTTTCAAATAATCGTATTTTGTGCTTTTTCCCTGCGTTTATATAAATATGCCGCACAAGAAGTTTCGAGGCTTTGTATTTAATGACTAACTGAGATGCAAGCTGGATGCGACTGTGCATAATAAGCTGAATGCGCTTGATGTCCCAGTGCTTGGCAAAAATTGATCATGAAAACGTAAGCGCTTTCTAGCACTGGAGTTGACTTAACTGTGAGCGTATAGGTGTCATTCAACATTCTAAAATAAATTATGTAAAAAAAGAATTTAATTAACGAACCTTATGCAATGATATAATGTAGGTAATTCAGCAATCAATTCGCTGGAGCTGGCAGAGCTGTTGCATACAGCATGTACTTTTTCTATAGCTTGTACTGTAGCTTTAAGTTCGTCTTTTACTGGTCTTCCTGGCGTCACTCCTTCACATACACTAGCAGCATACGCCAATAGATACATATATTTTGATTTATGTTCAGGATTTAATTTGCTGCCAAGCTTGAATAGTGAGTCCACTAGTAGTTCTATAAAACAGTAAAATGTGTAACGACAGTAACAGTGACAAAATCCAATGTTAATACAATTACATATATAGATAAGGTAGACGTTACCTACCCATGCCATAAGAGCATGGGTTACTAATTATAGATATAGTTCAGCATTTTCAGAACTGCTAACATAATGTTCTAACTAACCAACTCCTCTTCCCTGACTGGCTTCTCTGGCGTGTTACCTACATATTACCTAAAAATTGAGGAATGCGTAGTAGATGAACTGGTGGTGGTTCCGGTTGTGTGTACGCTCGAAACAATACGGAAATATCAGCAGGGTTGAGAGCACCCCGTGATAGCATAGCTGCGAGTGCAGTGCGGGCGTTACGATAGCTCTCGCCGGCAGTCAGCGACAGTGTGATAGGTGTCACGTCGTGTCCACTAAAAAAAAGACAGTATTATAAGCATCAGCCCACTGCTGGTGGGTCAGCCCACATAGGTCAGTCAGTTTGCTATTTTACATTTTTGTAATTTATATTAACAGTGTTTCTTAAAACCACTGAATAAAAAAAATGTTTATTAATTTTAGCAAAATATATTAATGATCTAAACAATTTTAGGTCATCAGTCTTAAGTATATATATATATATATATATATATATATATATATATATATATATAGATATAATAAAATAACCTGTTACACTAATAATAGCTTTAAATTTGTAAATTTCCAAAGACATTCGGATCTTTGGTAATTTGGTTTGGAAAAAATAAGGAATTAAAATTTATGGAGAAAAGACCTAGCCAGCTAGTAGCACTACGTAAATACGTATTAGTTACGTTATGTAATAGTTAAAATTTTAATGCACCTACCTATTAATTAAAATACATTAAGATTACTTTTATTACAATATGAATTACACAAGTACATTTCTCCATGGCATAGTATATAATAATATAATACATATTAATTTGTTGGTTGTTTTTCTGTTTTAGTGTTTCAGCATGGCTAGACTGTCCAATATAAATTTAATGTTGAGGTTGTTGACACCTAACTTTAACAACTTTAAAAGTAGTATTGTCAATACAATATATTTACCATTAGTTAATTTTCAGCAATACATAAAGTACATAGAGCACATCTATGGTCTATGGATAATTTTATCACCAAAATTGACATAGTAGTTGTAGTATTGTGTAGATTATAATTGATATCCACAAGTAATTTCTTACATACATAAATAGTGTCTACATATATGTGATTAAAATTTCTATGATTCTATATTGTTTTGTTTATCTGTTAAGTATTGTATTCATTACTAAGCGCCTTACATGAATTTATCAATTCTAGTTACACAAAAAAAATTGTTCATGTTCCTTTGTCTTGGTGAATTTTCATAAATTCTTACCCTTGTTGAGCACAACGTGTTATTTCTTGACTGAGTCTTTTCATAATAGCACCTCCTCTTGGCTCTTGAGATAATATGTGAACGATTACTTGGCTGTATACATAAGTATGAGCACCATGACATACCATTTTCTGTAATAATAAGTAGTTGAAATATTATTATTGATGAAGGAAGGAATTCTATATGTGGTTATTGTATACACCGGAGGGCTCGAGTAAACGATGTCTTTTAGTCCAGTATGGCTAATTTACCACAAACTAGATACTGTTTACCAATAAGTACCACATGAAGGTGCAAATAGTAAACATAATATTAAAACTATTTTTTAAATAATATTCAGATTTAACTTACTGCACATTCATTTACACTATTTTGCCAATCATCTGAACTTTGCAAAAATCCTACAATGGCTGACTTGAGAACCCTGGAAAATACTTCAATTTGTTGAGCAGCAGTGGATATACTGGTTATTTCCCCTTGAAAACCAGCATCAGATATTAGCTGAAATACACATGTATTTATAAAACAGTAGTTGTTATTTATGATTTCATCTGCATAAACACTACAGGTTACATGTTCCAACACACATCTGAATAATTTTTTGAGGTAAAATATAATTAATTTATTACATTTTCCTGTTACAATATATCTTCATGTAAAATTCATGACATTAAGAGAACATATTGTGAATAGTTAACAAACAACACAGTCACATATCCATTTTTACAAAATTAAAATTAAAAGATATTTATCATATAGGTCTATATTACTTTTCAGCATAATTTCAAGTTCATGTTATGTAGATTTTTATCACTATCCCTACTGTAACATTAGTATGAATAATTATTAGACTTATAGACAGTTAAATTAATTCTATATAAGTAATCCTATACAGTTTTTAAATAGGCACCAGTACTTATTCTATATATCCATTTATTACATGGTCATCACCAGTTTCAATTACTCTTAATTAATGAAGAATTTGATGATAGTTTGACCAGGGTGTGTACATTGCCTATAAATAGCTGCATATCACACAACTTTTAAAGTGCCAGGACTGGTACAATATTTGTACCACAAATCTTAGTTACAAATATTTTCATATAAAGTTTCTGGAATATTGCCTATTATCAATATATGTGTCTTCAGTATGATTTCACACAAATTAGATATCAAGGTGAATAAGCCAATATAAAAGATATGGTTATGGGATTAAGTCAATATAATAAAGTAGATTGTTTTTAGGTGCACATTAGATAGACAGTTGGTTGTCTAAAAAAGTATAAATATGTAAAATTACCTTGATGGTAAAATTAAGCATTAAACAGTCAGGATACTCTTCTGCTAATCTATATATTAATGATCTCCAAGTAGGATGTTCAATCATTTCTGTTAACCAAGCTGGTGTCTGCAAAATTATACATGACGTCAGGAAATGATAATTAACATGGATATAAACTAGTCAATATACAAAAATAAAAAATATAAATAAGGTTTCAGAATACTAATAATTTTATAATAGTCATTTGTTAAAAAAGGTACAAAACTTGTTCAAAGTTATAATACTTGACTATAATTATCTAATACTTACTTGAATAATAGTCATTTATTTAAATAGTTACACTTAAAATGTATATGGGTCATTCTTTTTTTTAACCTACATGATCTTAAAATTTTAACTCATATTTCCAAAAAAGAATATAACGCTTTCTAGTCAAATCTTGTATGTTTTGTGATAGCTGAATGTCTATTCTATCTGAAAAAGTTGTTGGCCGCGAAGTTTACAAATTTTTGTAAAATTTTCGAGGCCTTAATGCTTTAAGGGATTGGGCTAATAATTGTACACCTCCGTCACAATATCTTTTATTTTTTTTGTATCAAATAGTTTAACTCAGATAGCTTGCAATTTACTTTTTACAATAATAATCAAATGGTCCTTTTAGAAAACTTACAAGGCAAGATTTCTGTATTTAACAATATATATATTTTTAATCTTATTATACTCTGTCACAATTGCAGTTTTTTAAAAGTATATTTTTGCTATAAATCAATTTTAACCACTTGTAGCACAGAAATATTAATTTCGTAGACTATATTATAGTTAACTATTTTTTATATAATTTTTTTGAAATTGTACTATTCATAAGAAAATATTAAAATGACTATATAAATTTTAAAACCAGGAGACATTATCGTGACAGAGTGGTAGATTATGTGACAGAGTTGTTATTCTATATAATAATCGGTTATATTTTGGAATAAAACTAGTTTTAAATGAATATTTTATTTAGAATCATTTATTATTTCTTTAGAATAATTAAATATTTGACAGTCTTATATTCTTACAACTCAAATACTCTCATACTAATAAAAATCACATTACAGAACCTTTGGAATGAGATCCGTATTAATATAATTAAATTATAAGACTTCTAACTTGTCACAAATAAAGAAAATGTCTAACTTGACTGAAAAATTAAAATAAAATAATAACTATCATCAACAAATTACTTTCTTCAGTCATACTTGTCCTAATCAGTCTTACTTTTCGAACACTGGCAAAAGCTCATCAAATTCAAAAAACCTTCTCTTTCCTTTTTTAACTATCTTTGGATTTGGTAGAATTTTAATCAAATCCTCATACGGAACATCTGATAAGTCATTCTCCACTAATAAATAATCTTCCACAATCATCGACTATTTTCAAGAACATCACCAGAACATCGCCTATGTTACGTATGTATATTGATCATTCAATTCACTTTTTACTTTAACGAGTACATGTATATTCCGAGCAAATGCATAGGTGAAGTGTTTCTTAAGAAGTATTAGAAAAGGCCGTTGGATTAGAGAAATCTTTGCTTTTATATGTGTGCAATGGCTGATCTTCCTCAGATGATTCATACATAATATCATAAAATCTTTTTCGAGGCATCCCAATTTTGTTCGTAATATCGTGAGCGACAAATCCTCCACTTCATGAATTGCAACATCTTCTTTTTCGTTAAAAAACAACTAGTCCAAAATATTGTCAACATTGGATTCTGTTTCAAGCAGAGGCCAATAAGTTTTAGAAACGACGAACAGAATTGTTCACAAAAACAACTCAGAACCCTAAAGTTTAAGATTCCACGAGTTTCTGAGAGCAGTTGTGGATTTGCATGGTTCCTTTCAGGGGTAAAATACTGCTTGGAATAGTCGATACTCCATTGTCTATGTTTTCGTCTGCCACCAAAAACCATTTAATTTTGCTGGTATCTTGAATGGAGAAAAAGAATTCTAACACGTCTCCGATATATTTTCCTATTGCTACAATAGCATCAGTTTGGCGTTTCAAAGTTCCACCAACACCATTAGCAATTCCCTTTCCATGTCTTGATTAAAAAAATGCAAGTTTGGTATCGTTCTTTAATGGCATTGGAAAGTTTTCATTCTTACTGTTCTTTTCATCTTTGCTATTGCTATCTTTTTTGGATTTTCTGTGCAAGCTTTTCTTGTATTTTCGAACTTTCCTCTCTAATTCTTCTATTTTATCTTGTAAACTAATATTCTCTCTGTATAACTTCTCTGTGTTCTATCTCTTTTCACTCTGTTCTTCACTCTTGAGCTAGACACTCCTGAATTAGTTGGTGTTGCAGAATGAGGACGTATTTCTGGATGGCGATGGAGCCGGCGTGTTCAACAGTATGTTTTCAAGCGTCTGTTTTTTTTTCTTTTCTTGCTATTTTCTCTTCATCATACGATATTCTCTTACAGTCATGTCAGCCACAAGCTTCTTACGAGTATGATATCTGTCGAGATATGATATCTTTCGATTACTTCAGCTACCTTTTCTGTACAACTTTTTCGTATCTTACGGCAACGCCGCTGTTTTTCTGCTGTTAATGCCTTCTTTTTCGTCATAATAATATCTTGAGAAAGAAAATATGTAAACAAATCCGTAAACATTAGAAAAACACTAGATAAACTTTATATCGAAATAGTTGCCATAATAAGTACTGGCCCTGTTTCAAGAGACTCTTATATTTTATGAGATAAAATAAATGTTACATTCTTTGCAAGTATTTTTTACCCATCCGTCACTATTTTAATTGTCACGAAGTAGTAGCGTGACGGAGGGGTAAATCTTACAAAATTGTTAATATTTAAATGTTACCACAAAATACAAATGTAACACGTTGACATGAAAGTGTTTCATATTACGCAAAAGTTAAATAATAAGAAGTGACTGTAATTGATATATTATTGTCCAATACTTACGTGACGAAGTTGCCGCCGAATAAACACACGCACCTCCATACACAGATTCCGGGCGACTTACGCGCAATCTCTAAGTCCTAGAGAGCTTATCTCAGCAAGGCAGAGGAAGGACTGGATTGGATATTTTCCAATCGACGGCAACAAAAGCGACCCGCGTATATAAGCGCGCGTCATTCGAATTAAAAAACATGTGACCGAATATACCTATTAAAACAGTCTGTAGTGAAAGACAAGACTTTAAGATTTTTTTATTAAAAATGTCAAAAAGTTTTAGCCAGTACAACAAAATGAACAATAATTTGGAGAATTAAAAAATACTTTTATATTTGCTACTGCCTTTATATTTTTTTGTACCATTATGAATTACAGGCCCAGATAGCAGATGACAACTATGATTTGTATGAAATACACCTCTGTCACGCGGATTGACGGCTCTGTAACATATTTTTTATTATAAAAATATAAATGATTATTTATTGTGAACGTGTATAGCCGTTACATTTTTAGTACAGTACATATTGAAACATGAATAATAAAATAATATGGATAATTTTTGATTATATTTTTTTAACTGATGAAGACACCTTTTTGTAGGTTAAAAATAAGAATGACCCATATTTACAATCAATACTCACTTCACCTTCTTCAGTAAATATGGTGTCTGCTTTTTTGGGATCAAAAGTTTTAAGAATCATGTCTTTCAAGTGATTTTCTACCATTGCTTGAACTTCTGTCACTTTTACACCTTAAAAATATGCAAATAAAAATATCCTTACTAATCAAGCTTAGTATTGGTACTAAGTATTTTATAGCATTTTACATTTTACTATGAACTGTATGTCAGCCTAATATATTTTAAACTTGTTAATTTCAATAGTATTAATATGATTTAATCTGTGATAATAATAGATATATTAGAATTATATTTTAAAATTAAAAATGATTTTGTTTAAAGTAGATACTAAATGTAGTATCTAGAATCTAGATTCTAGAAGACGCTATTAAAGTTGAAAAATCTAATTTAAAAACATTTCAAGCTGTAAAATTTTAAATAAATTTATATAATAACCAGAATTAGAAGGACCCTAAAATAAGAATAACATAACAGTAGTGGTACCAGCATATACATACCTCCCAGTATAAGCCATTCTGCTAATAAATTTGCCATTTGTGCCACAGCACTATAATTAATAGACAATTGTTCAATAACTTGCTCAGGATTACCTCCTGCTTGAAAATATCGTTTAAGTTGTCCAAATATTCCAGGTTCCATTATGTAATCTGGAGTCTTAAATTTTTCCAAACATTCCTGTAGGACTTCTTCAGGATTTTCAATGATATCTTCATTACCTTCTTCCTAGTTAAATGGAGAATTTATATCATGAAATATATATGTATTTGATGCATGCTTACTTATAACTATATTACATTGCATGCATATACTTATTGTGAAAACACACTTAAGTTATTAAGACATACCTCATACTGATTGTGGTTTGGTGCTTCCCAAGTACGTTCTTCTTCATACTGACTGGGCATTGCTAGCGGTTGTAACAAAATTACTTGGAGGTATGCAATTAATAATTGTCAATTTGATAAGAAGCAAACAATATACAATACCTAATACAGTTTGTAAATAATCAGTACATGTTCAGTCTAAATTGTCCGATTATCATGAATAATAAAATTTAGAAATAGTTTATTATTATTTCCTTCATTCTTGATTTTGTTTTGTTTACACAACCAGTACGTTACGTACAGTAGTAGTTAGAATGTACTTAAAAAACCGAATAAGTCAAAATAGGACGAAACAAAAGTTTTACGGAAATTATTGGGGGTATTGACTGACAGTAAAGTGACATTGACTTCAGCTGTCAATAAAATTGACTGATTTATACTGAAATGAATAAACCTGGATTGGCCCTAAGAAAGAAAAAAACCTGGATTGAATTGACAGTATCAGTATTGCCAACTCCAAAAAATCTATTGCCGAATCTCTACATTATTGGTTCAATGAGTGTCAGTGACTTTGAAGAGAAAAATATTTGCCATGGTGTAATGTCTAAAAGGTGAAGATCACATCGGTTTGCAACACAGATATATATGACGAAATAGTTTCGTCTGAAGGACTTGTATCCATGGTCATGAATAAAGCATTATTAAAAAAATATATATTGATGAAATAGTGAGTCCGCCAGGGCTAACGACGACAGGTATCAACGGGAGATCAACATGATATGGTAAATTGCCATCTAATAGCCCCACTGGAATCTAATTCTTCTTACATATTTTGGCTACTGTACCCACCAACTTGTACTGTACGATTCTTTGATAACTCGCGGGCCGTTTAACATGTTTATGCGGTTCACCAACCGTTTTTAAAATTTAATTTAGTTTTATCGATTTTTCCCATTAATATATTGTCACAAAATAAATTATAATAAAATGGAAGAACAAATTGAACTGAAATATTTTCTGATGAGTTATTCACTTGTCAGCATCTTCTTTACACATTCAGTACAAACTGTCTGCGCAAGCTTCATTTTGTATTAATCTTTTTATACGAAATCTTTATCTTTTAAAATTGATATTTTTTATTCTAATGTTTAGTATAAATAAAAAGTTTTGTAAATTAATAGATGTTCCTTTATGTGCGGCCCGCCAAAAAAATTTAAAATTTAAATGGGCCCGTTGATGAAAAAGTATGCTCACCCTGGATTAGGTATAGTATCTATAAATACCTGGGAGGCAATGTATTCTATCTGGCCTATTAGCACGGTCTAGGTCCTCTCTGGAAAGTAACGTGGTTGCATCCCAGTGAATACCCCATTATGCCTTAATTAAGCGAAGTTCATGGCCATTTTATAATCCTATTGTATTGAAACTAATATTATATAAAAGGAAAGATTTTTTTTGTCTAATTCTCAAATATATGTTTTTACAGATTGATGATGGAATTGGGGGTCCGCCTTCGCTAACGCTGGTTGGGCCTATCATTACCATGATGTATCAACCACTCGAACCATCAAGGCACATAAACACTACAAGCGGACTTAATTCATCAAATTTTTCGACGCCCGCTTATCCTCACTTTTTATTACAGTAATTTTAGTACATCGGAAATAAAAAAATATTAGGCTATTAAATAATGTATTTCTTATTTAAAAACGGTAACAATATAGATTCTGCAATGAAAATATCTTTAAAATAATAATATTCAAATAACGTATGTTACCTAGGTACAAGGCGTATGAATGTAGTTCAAATACATACATTGTTTTAAAAATCAGTAGTGCAATGAGCAATATTTATAGTGTGCTTTTCAAGTCACTAATTATAACATGTAGTATTAGGCAATAACACGCTTTATTTGGAGAATTTCAACAAGCATTATATAAACCAAAGCTTTGAAAATCTATAATTTTAAATATTTACCTATATAAATGTAACTATTTATCTCCCATTTTTATAGATAATGAAATTAGATATTAGGTGGGCATTTAGACCTATCTATTGTAGTTATAAATAAATCACTTTGTCTTTGTAATCCATTCCAGTAGTGAAAGTAGATAGCTACCAACAAGCAATAATAATGTAGGTACTAGTACTTAATTAGTTGTTGGTTAAAAAGGCCTAAACCGAAGACTACATGCGACATTAAAATCAGGGGCAAAGTTAGAGCAGTGGAGGTAGCACCCTGGATTAGTTTCTGGATTGTCACGTGTATACCCCAGTTTCCCCCTATTTCTCATTATTGCCGCAAATTTTAGGTCAAATAGCAGAACTTATGTGAAATCGGCTCAGAATTGGCTACACACGAAGTCACATAGTACCTTCTATCACTATGTAGTTTATGGTGTTACCACACTAAATCGTAATCATAACTAGATGCGATCAAGGATGCTCATTACTACTGGTAAGATATTACCCCCAATTTACATAAGTATGGTGTGTAGGTTGTTATAAATCAGATCTTTTACTTACAAGGTATAAAAGTGTGTGAGCTGACGCCCTGCCGTCACGTAAGGTTGTTACTTGTTTAGTAAGTACCTTTCACGAATCAATTCTATTACTTTCATCGTATCGATTCATTATTAAGATATTATACCTATACATACTCATAATATAAAAAAGCAAAAAGTATATATGAAATAAACTTTAAACTTTGTGTCTATACGTTTAAATATCTATAATGTTTATTTTAGTTTCATTTTATATATATAGCCCATTTATATGTATCTGTAGAAACTGTTTATACCACGCATATCTAATTAGGTACTTTGAAAATAATTCTTGACGTATATTCTTATATCCCAATTATCCACCCACAATATAAGTCAGGTACATAATAAATGGTTAGACTAGGCAAATATTATTTTATAATAATGATGAAGGCATGGCTTAGGTAATTATTTAGATAGATAACCTATTTATGTTATAATTTCTAAGAGCGAAATGCTTAAACAATTATCATGTTAAATCACTGCTGGGACAATTAGGATTTGTGGTTTTTATTCAATAGCAATGTTTTCTGTTATTGATCACTTAATAATGTGAAAAAGTAATAATAGTTAACAATAAGTCACAGGTTTATATACCTACCTAATATCATAAAATCAAAAGAGAATATTCTATTAAAAAAATATTAAGTATATCTAAGAATTAAGGATATTAACAATAAAGTCAACTTACAAAGCAGTTGCATTACTTATAGGTACTTACAACTAGATCGTGGGTATTTAATACTGCTGGAATCGACGGTATATGGCACGGTAGGCATACATATGTCTATTATTCTTTAATTAAAGATTAACTAATTTTTTTAGGGAAGATATACTTACCTAATAATAAATTATTGTGTTTGGTCGATTTAATTGGTCTCTACAAAGGTAGCCTTTAGTCCTACACACGAAACTAAATTAGGGCAATATCGGAACTGTACACACAAGCAATATTCGCGGAGGCGAACAGGGTGCTCCCCTGCTCCGATATTGCCCCTGATTTTAGTAGCCCGTCTTATACATCGCGCCTTGTGTGCAATATTATATGCTCAAAGCTCATTTGTTGATTGTGTGGTAAAATATAAAATATTAAAGGGTCGGTACGCTAAATGGTCTACACACTACACTGCAATTGGGGGCAATATAGGAGTAGTGGTCGGGAGGGAAATCGAGACTGATTTCACATGCAGTGCTCATTGACTGATTTTATCGCCACCATGTTTGTATCGTGTGTAGCCGTTTTTAGTGTCGTGTGCATTATTTGTAGATAAAACAGAATTCATAGACATTAATTAATTTTGTACATTTTCAAATCAATAACCTATCGATACTTATTGTATACATGTGAATGAATGTTTAAATAAATAAAATATGAGCTTTGGCATTAAACAAATAAAGTGTAAAAAAATTTAGGAATATGTCTTAATTGACTAGGGTAGGTATTTACAATTATAGTCGCTAATATTCACGATAATAAAAATCTAATAGGCATCAGTAGGTCCCATTGTAGGTAGGTATTTTATTAAACTGGCTTTAAGAGCCAACTAGTACGTAAGCAGACGTTAGTAAAATTTGAATTACCTAATTCAGACGTGGTATGATCTCTAAAAAAAAGTTGTGGTCACAGTTACCAGAAGTAACTGTGCTTCATTCGACTGTGAATGATCACAGTCGTCATATGCGTCGGCAGTTTTATCGATAACCAGGAATTTATTTTATATTATTTTCGTGCAAAATTAGGATAGTAAGTCCAAAAAATATTTTCTGCGCTACTGAGGTACTTGTGCAACGAAGCTTTTATGTAATTTATATAGAATAAAAAAGCGATTCCTCCATTGTGGATACACACACACAATCAGAAGAGTCGCTAACATTAGTGAGAAAGTGAGATTATTTATATTAGGATATAAAAAACAGCACATAGCCTTTCGAACATAATTAGAGTTCTGTAGTTGACCGTTAACATTCAGTATACACAGCATTTTATGGACCCAATAAAAAAAAATCCAATGTGATAGCACACTCTTGGATTGGTGATAATTTTAAAGGTTTTGTAATAAAGAAGCCTGATTATTTTCTAAAATAAATAAGCACTCGACATTGGTATATTGATTGTCGTCTTGGAAATATATTAGTTTAAATTTTGCTTCTGTATGAATTTGCTTCGTGGCTGAGATGTTATATTTAGGTAGTACCTATATAGTCTTCTGTAATTAATTTGTTCAGGTATGAAATTTCATCCATAAATAGTCGACTGATATAGAATAGAGGTAGGTGAATACATAAATAAATAATATACATAATTATTTACAATTTCTAAATATCTATTTATAAAATCTCTTGATTTTACGATTATTTATTATGTGTTCGAATTAATCTGTAATTGTTTGTGAAGGTTTATAAATATAAACTAGGTATATTTAGTTAATCAAAAAGATAATGTCTAGAGGAATGACTGACATACCTATTCCTAATAGCTGCACGTTTATTTTTTTATTAAACGATTTATATATATCTAATGAAAATGACATCGCAGTCGAAGTATAGACTACCACTGATTGATTACATGTAACGACAGTGGCTTAACGTGATGACTTTAAAGTTAATATTGTACTATATCTTAAATTTATTAATCAACGTCAGGCTAATATTTACCCTGCTTGTATTAAGAAACTTGTCCAAAATTTTAAAAATTGGTTCCAGTAAAGGTTTTGTAATTAATCAGTAGGCATAGATGTAACTTAAATCTATAAAATTAATGTTATAGAGATATCTATTAAAATCTATTAATAATATTTATTTTAGAAAACTTAAAATCTTTGATTGTATCTATATAGAAAATAAAAGGTTTCTATCACAGG